AGAAAGTAAGAGCCAGAGGACCAAGCTTATGTGGGTTTGAATCCTACCTCTGTCAACTACTCACTAAATACAACTGGATAAATCATTTAATCTCTCAGCGCCTTAGTTCTCTCATCAATAAGGCAAAAATAGGACTTATTCACTGAGGTTTAAAGATTATTAAGTGAAATAATTTATAGAGTGTTAAGAATTGCCTGGTTCATATTAAGTATTCAATAAATATTAGTTATTATCATTTTTAGATACCATATCAATTTCATATTTTTACATTCTGGTTCCACCAGCCAGCTTGTAGTTTGTACAATATCCTTTCATTCTAGCAAAAGTTGACTGTTGTTAGAAGTACTTAGAGGGGTGAGCTTCCATATTTTTGTGTCTTATTTGATATTTTATTGGGAAGTTGAGGGATACTGCGTCATATCAGTTTTTGCATTTTATTGGAATTTTATGGATAAATTCTAGAAGGGTGATCCATCAATGCAGTTTGAGATTGAACAGGAAGTCAATCATTTTATTTTTGTCCATACCTTTATGCAATTTCCTACTGTCTACCTTGTCTACCTCATTTCTTCTCCCACTTTGTTCTGTGACTTTGGAGCAGCTATGAAGTATGATGAGATTCATAAATTGGTTTGAAACATGCCATTACTGGATAAGCTAATGAAATATAAGAAGAAAATTGTTCTCTGTAGTTCAAAATACCTCCGCAGGTACTAATCACAAACAGATCAAAACCAAGATCTTTCTAGGCTGTCTAAGCAATTAAAGAAACCGGCAGATGCTGAACATATTAGTGAGGGCAGGCAATTATTTAAAGAGAGAACATTTAATATAAATAACTATTAACTAGGTACAAAGTTGTTAGTTAAGTGGAAGACTAAAAAGAGGAGTCTATGGATTCATGAAGATAACAAATTCTCAAAGCAGTTACCACTGTAACTCTAGTAGACATGCAAACTGACAACTACCCCAGTTGAGACTGGAAAATAGTAATACTTAGAAGCTTGGAGGAGGAGACTGTAAAGCTGAAACTCAGATGCCTTAGAAAAAGAATTGTTGCTCAGTGGCTAATGGCATAAGGACTCCAAGTTGGTGCCCTAGAGGCTTGGGTTCAGACCTCTAACCAACTGGTTGGTGTTGGTATCTCTGAGGACACAAGAAAGCAAGCCCCTCTTCTTCCCCTAGCTTGCAGTCTCTGCTTACTGGTTTCTGTTGGCAGAACCTACAAGGACCCACCTGGCATAGCAGAAATGTGGTTTACAGAGTACTAGTTTTGGTATCCCAAAGCAGAGGAGAGAAAGATGGGTTTGGAGCTGAGAGATGATAGTCACATCTGGCACAGTGAGTCACCCAGAATATTAAAGAAATAGTATAATGACATAAGAAATTCTTTGCACCATTACCGGCTGCCAGACATTATGCATTATTGTATTCCATCCATTCTTACTGCTTCTCCTCAAAAAGCTATTTTTATCCCATATTATTGATGAGGAGATTTGGGGTTAGGGACCTTACTTACTTAAGGTCATATGACTAGTCAGAGGCACAGCCGGAATCAAGCTCTGTCTTTGTAGCTACAAAGTTTCTACACAGCTCTGCCTCCTACAGTCAATTGTGTTCTTGCTATGATTTCTTCTAACACTGGGATGCATTTTTAAGCAATTGATGTTTCTTTGCTCAAAATTGTTTGATTTTGTTTTAGTCTCCAAATTAGTATTTTCACAAATTTGAACTTGTTGTGTTAAACAGGTATGCACAACTGTCTGGAACTGTGAAGACTGGACATTTTTCCAATTTATCTAAACAGATAGCCAAATCAGATAATTCAAACTTTGGGAGAAATATATTAATGTAATTACTTTCTTTGGCCATCTACTTTGTCTTTTGGATTGCCTGGAGCAATGCCTGGTTGCCTATTGACTTTGTGCCACATCAGGTCACTGTAATTGTTTGGCAAAATTCCTTCCTCAGGAACTTATCACCAGAGATTGACTCTTCTCAATAGCCACTCTCTTAGGAAAGCAACTTTAGTAAACTAGTTTTGCAATTTTACCATAAATAGAAATCCTGAGTTACAATATGAATCTATGAAACAGGGTGAAAATTGGAAAATATCAGCCTACCGCAAATTTCTAGACTAGTAGAGATCTTGACAAACAGAATAAATTATGCTCCTGAGTAAAGACTTGTGCATCAATCATCTGTCAACCCTTAATATGTCCACTGATGCCACTGATGTCTGCAAAAGATTACCAACATTTGCATATAGTTAGCATTTTCCATATTACAATAAATGAATTTTTGTCTTCATTTGTATTTATGCTTGAGACTCAAAATAATAATGATTCTCTGAGATAGAGAGATTTGTTGGAATACAAAATAGCTACCATCTGTCATTCAAGACTTTTTGATAGTAAGACTTAAGAGTCAATTTTCTTAGCTTCCTAGTTCCACTCATTCACCTTCACTCTACCTAGATCTCCAATTATCACCTACCTGTAAATACCTCTTTAGCTCTTAAAGACTGGATGACCTTGCCAATACTTGAAACTTATCTCTTTATTTTTTCTTCTTTTAAATACCAAAATCACTGGGATTCATCCAGAGTTCTCTAAAACAAAATATTTCTATGAAAAATAATTTTAAAGAGTGATAGCAACAGGCACAAATTTTATATAAAGTAAACCTAAAAGTGTGGCTTGGAACATCAAACAACACTTTTTGAAAGTGCCTTTACACCATTATATTGATAGAGCTTAACAATTCCATTCCTACATTCTCTAACAATCTTTCATAACTGAAAGAGGAGTAAATGTAGTGTGGATTTAGGATAGAGTGTCTCATTCCCTTGAGGTCTTAAGTATAGAGCATGGGACCTTTTTAATACCTGTATAATTCTTCTTAAATCACTTACATTTGTTAAGAATTTTATAATTCACAAAGTAATTTCAGTCACAGCCTCACAAATATATAACAACCTACAACTCTAGATGAGATCATCATCACACATTAAAAATTGAGAAACTGAGCCCCGGATGGTTGGTTTTACCAAGCAAGTACTAAATGTCATTTTCTGACTGTAAACCATCTTCTCTTCCCTAAATCCCTTCAGATTCAGATATTCTTTTTCTAAGAGTTTAGATGGCAAGCATGAACACTGCTATGGCACCAGCTTCACAATTCAAAGGTCCTGACTCTCCTCCTGAGACTTTGATCACCAGACTCTGCTGCCTCAACAAAACCAAGAATATTCTGCTAAAGGTCCCATAAGCAGAAAGTTGTACTCTGTTTCAATAAATAGTACATTCCTTAAAATACGCATTTAGATTACCTCTTAGCTTCTTAAAGCATCATTTGTTATCTTCTGAAAGTGGTGAAATGGATAAATAATTAATCTTGCTTCTTACTGGAAAAGAGTATCTGAATTTTCTGAGACCTATTTGACCTTGAATATATATTAACATATTTATCATGGGTTTCCTTTGTTCATGCCCAGCCTCTATAAATGTTAAGCAACCCATCTTCCTAGGAAAAATCTATTTCAAAAGAAAAAAAAATACTTACAGAATTGGAATATAGGTGATGGCTGGGAAAATATGAGCATGTTGTTGAAAGAATTCATTGTCAGTGGAAGAAGGCTGAAAAAAAAAAAAAAAGAACGTATTGTCAAGGGCCATTGGAGCATTTTGAAATTGTGTTAGGATCATCTCAAATCCTTTCCAAATGCTTTTGAAAACATTTACAGCAGTTAAACATTTAATCCTGAGCTTTCTATTGTACTATTATGGAAGATTCATAACATGTCCTATGACATATTCATATGGTGGAGATTTACTGTAAAATGTTATGTGGGACTCTGAAAAGTTATTTTGAGGACTTTTAATAAACATTTGAAACTTACAAGCCTTAAACTGTAAAAGCTAGATGCTCACTCATCTGGTATAAAAATGTTGGACTAGCTATAGATATGTATAAGACAAATCACCATTCCATTATTTCTGAAGAGTTATGCCTTAAACAAAGATGATGAGCTTAATTCTAGACCTCCAAAATGATGTATTATTAACTATAGTATAAACAGAACTTTGTCAAAGTAAGTCTCCTATAGATCTTTTCTAAACTGCATTAGAACATCAAACAACACTTTTTGAAAGTGCCTTTACACCATTATATTGATAGAGCTTAACAATTCCATTCCTACATTCTCTAACAATCTTTCATAACTGAAAGAGGAGTAAATGTAGTGTGGATTTAGGATAGAGTGTCTCATTCCCTTGAGGTCTTAAGTATAGAGCATGGGACCTTTTTAATACCTGTATAATTCTTCTTAAATCACTTACATTTGTTAAGAATTTTATAATTCACAAAGTAATTTCAGTCACAGCCTCACAAATATATAACAACCTACAACTCTAGATGAGATCATCATCACACATTAAAAATTGAGAAACTGAGCCCCGGATGGTTGGTTTTACCAAGCAAGTACTAAATGTCATTTTCTGACTGTAAACCATCTTCTCTTCCCTAAATCCCTTCAGATTCAGATATTCTTTTTCTAAGAGTTTAGATGGCAAGCATGAACACTGCTATGGCACCAGCTTCACAATTCAAAGGTCCTGACTCTCCTCCTGAGACTTTGATCACCAGACTCTGCTGCCTCAACAAAACCAAGAATATTCTGCTAAAGGTCCCATAAGCAGAAAGTTGTACTCTGTTTCAATAAATAGTACATTCCTTAAAATACGCATTTAGATTACCTCTTAGCTTCTTAAAGCATCATTTGTTATCTTCTGAAAGTGGTGAAATGGATAAATAATTAATCTTGCTTCTTACTGGAAAAGAGTATCTGAATTTTCTGAGACCTATTTGACCTTGAATATATATTAACATATTTATCATGGGTTTCCTTTGTTCATGCCCAGCCTCTATAAATGTTAAGCAACCCATCTTCCTAGGAAAAATCTATTTCAAAAGAAAAAAAAAATACTTACAGAATTGGAATATAGGTGATGGCTGGGAAAATATGAGCATGTTGTTGAAAGAATTCATTGTCAGTGGAAGAAGGCTGAAAAAAAAAAAAAAAGAACGTATTGTCAAGGGCCATTGGAGCATTTTGAAATTGTGTTAGGATCATCTCAAATCCTTTCCAAATGCTTTTGAAAACATTTACAGCAGTTAAACATTTAATCCTGAGCTTTCTATTGTACTATTATGGAAGATTCATAACATGTCCTATGACATATTCATATGGTGGAGATTTACTGTAAAATGTTATGTGGGACTCTGAAAAGTTATTTTGAGGACTTTTAATAAACATTTGAAACTTACAAGCCTTAAACTGTAAAAGCTAGATGCTCACTCATCTGGTATAAAAATGTTGGACTAGCTATAGATATGTATAAGACAAATCACCATTCCATTATTTCTGAAGAGTTATGCCTTAAACAAAGATGATGAGCTTAATTCTAGACCTCCAAAATGATGTATTATTAACTATAGTATAAACAGAACTTTGTCAAAGTAAGTCTCCTATAGATCTTTTCTAAACTGCATTAATATCATGACCTCGAGTTCATTTGAGAGGCTAGGCCACAAGACCTCATGTCCTTTCAGAGGTTTCCACTCCAACGATGGCTAAGCAACACTGCCAAATAGCCCCCTGTGCCAATGGAGGGAAATACACTTTAATTGACTCTCCCTGTAAATCCATCACAAAACCCACATTCTCATTATTTATTTTTTAAAATGTATTTAAAAGTCACCTATTCAGCACAGGGGCAACACATTGCCCAGAATAAACAATGTTAAATTCCTGAAAATCATAAAATCCAATTTTCCAGTGAAGGTTAAAATCAGATCATGTTAGTTACTTAGTGATTCATTTACCACTAATAGCAGTCATTCACTAACATGGCCTCAGTATCCTGTAGAATGAAAAACATTTTATTCTCATCAACTAACTCATTTATACTCTTCATGCAAATTATATATTGTTCTTATTCTCTTTTTATCCAAGTCTATACATATTTAGTACCTCTATAGACTGCCTTCTCACCTAACCTTTTACAGTGAGGAACACTTTTTTCCTCACCTGGTCATCAGCAGGGAATATTGGTCAACATTAAGATGAAAGCCTTGCCATAGAACTATCAAAAGAGAAGTGATAAAATTCTAACTGCTTGATGCAGTCCACCTCCTCCCCAGCAGAAATAGTAAGCATGAAGAATTATAGAACATGACCTTTCCCCGTAGGCTCCCAAGAAAGAGTATGCTAAGAAGAAAACAAAAGTTTATTACCCACTAATCCCAAATCCTTAGAATGTATTATCTGTTGATGACGATGTGTATAGTATTCTCAACTGGACTGAGATGTATATCATGCTAGATAAGATCTGTTTACAATCTAAATGATGTAGAGCAATTAAATGTATAAATAATAATAATGGGAAAAATATTTTCAAAGCAAAAAAAAAGAATGTGTTGTCAATCACACATTCTTCCACCATGGTGTCTTCCACCAAGGGTGAAAAAAATTGTCTTGACAGTGTCTGAACATTGGAGGCATATATGTACTGTTAGAATCTATGTAACTACTGGTTGTAATTGTAAAAAACTAAAAACAATGCAGCATTTACTTAGAGAGATGGATGTATTAAAAATAAGTTTACTTTTTAAATAGTGTGAATCCTAACGTATCCATTTTGTTTTGAAGGAAATCTCAATCTGTAACTTTTTTTTTTTTAAGAGAGATTTTTTGCTATTGGCATGTGAGCTCACCGGAGAGACAGAGAGAGACAGGGAGACAGAAAGTGAGAAATACCCCCCAAGGGGGATGGCCACACCACAATCCCTTCTCTTCCCTTCTCCTCCATCCTCTTCTCGAGACCTTGGGCATGCATATGCACCTGGTATGAGTTTTAAGTAGCCAGGTCTGGGACTTGAACTGCCATCAACTACGTGAGAGTTCAGAGACATACCATTATGCCATCTGCTGGTCCCTCAATCTGGAACATGATGAAGATATCACCAGGACAACCAAAAGAGGGGACTTTCTTGACTGAAACAAAGATATAAAGGATCAAACGACAAACTATAGATAAAAAGGAGCAGTTAAATGGGTGTGTATAGGAGTTTTAATTTCATATAATAACCTTATTAGACATAAGCAATCACTGATGTTAAAAAAATTAAGCCATTTTAATTGATGTTAAAAATCATTGATCTTGAAAAATTAAACAATTAAAAAACGTGTCTCCAGTTCAGTTCATTGCGTGATTACTATGGATAGAGAAGTAAAGACATTTCTGCTGATGTAGCTACAACCCTGGGGCTACTTATGGACAATTGTGCATAATACTACAGTCCATAAGACAAAATATACTGCTGGGAAATTTTGCACTGCATTTTTAACCTGCTGTTTCCACAGTTGACATTTCAACATCATGATTGTTTACTCTTCTGGGAGATCCTGGCATCTTTTGCAAATTTTAGCGGCTGTTGAATAATTGCTTTTGGGATGTTTCTTGCTTCTCATTTGCTGATTTAGTCTCACTGCTTCATTACAAGTCTGTGATTTCTTTTCTGAAAACCGTGAGTTTCATCTGCAAGTGAGAGAGGGGGAAAAATGAGATCAATCTATTTGGACTTGAGAGACTATAAAACTTGGTCATTTGGCAACACATTCATTCTCGTTCTTTCTCTTGGTCTCTCTTGTGTGCAACGTACTACATTTTTAGATAAGTGCTAGGGTGAAGAATGAAATCTGTGTCCAAGGAACAAATCAAAGCTTTCTGGTCCATCTGGGAATTAAATAAGCTGTTGCTTAAAAATGACCTGCGACGATGTCCTCTGGCAGCACATTCTAATGCCTGGCCACAGAGATGGTGAGGAGGCTTTTTCCTAATAACCAGCTTTAAAGAGAGAGGCACTATTTTCCTGAAACAGTTCACTGTGTAAGTGTCATAAATTAAATGCAGTAATGTCAGTCTTCCTAGTGCCCTGCTTGTATAATCTGATTATGATGTTCTTAAATACTTCTAATCCCTCTATAAATGATGACTTTATCTGCAAGTGGCTAAAATGGGTCACAGAAGAATCAGAGTCAATATTTTTCACTTCTTGAGGTTACAATTAAAGATGTCAGAAAAGACATGCATCCCGCAGACAGACCACAGCCACCCGGAGGACACAAGCACAGCTGACCCATATTCGCTTGTTCTGATTTTGCGTCCTATTGAGTAACAGCAGAGATTGATCATATTACAGGAAGTGGGAAGGTCAGGAAAATGAATCAACTGTGACATTGTCCATGAAGAGCCTCTACCTAGATTCCTTTAAAAGAAGGCTCAAGTAGGATTAGGTAGGCACAGCAGGAACACAGAGAATGACATACACATGAATTAAATAATTTCCATGTTAATTTTTATACCGAAGAAAATTTTTCCTGATTCCCAAGACTAGGTCATTTTGGAAGGTATTATTTCCTTTTTTTTAAGAGATTTTTGCTATAAGGTGCATGCACTCGCCAGAGAGACAAAGAGATACTGAGAGACAGAAAGTAAGAAATCATCACACAGGGGGCATGGCCACACCACAGTCCCTTCTCCTCCATTCTCCTCTCAGGATTTTGGGCACACACACACACACACACACACACACACACACACATGTTCCCGGCGTGAGTTTCAAGCCTCTGTGTCTAGGGCTTGGATCGCACTCAGTCATATGGGAGTCAAGCGATGTAACCATTATGCTATCTGCTGGTTCCAGAAGATACTCTACTTGTATTTCTTACTTTAGGGCCATACAATTTACTGTTATAATTATGATAAAGTAATATCTGCATCCCTCTTAAAACTCCACAGAGGTAGGGAAGATGTCTATTTTGCTCATTCCTATTGTATTCTCAACATATGTCACAGTACAGGGATTCAAAAGTTATTTTCAGAATTAATCTCTTAATCTAAAATATATTCTCTAGAAACATGAGTTATTGTGGAAGTGAATATGACCTAAAACACTGAAGCTATATGTTGGGCCTCTATATAACATTACATTAAAATCTGCAATTGATTAGCCCTGTTCTAGCAGAAATTCTTATGTGAGAATATTTTAGGAAACATGATTTGGATCCACAGGATACCCAATTTTGCAGTAAAGAGCTGTGCCATAATGAGGTTTCTTTTTTTCATTATAATAGCTAAAATGTCTCATTTTTTAAGACATTAGCCAAAGCAGCAAGCTGTTTGAATATGATGATAATGGTTTCTAATGCTTAGTAAATACAGTCGCTTGCCATTATGATGCTCATTTTCAAGGAAGCTCTTTGCCTTGTATTTAAACAAAAAAGAATGATAGAAATAGAGCCATGAAGGAGGTAAAAGTTTACATAAAGAAACTTGGAGACTGAGCTAGAGAGCAAAATTAGCATGGAATTAGAGATGGAGAGAAAAACTGGAGTGGAGGTGGGGGAGTGCTAGAGAGGGATGGATAAAGACAGGCAGCAAAGCTAATCAGCCAAAAATAACTAACAACAAATTCCAAAGGAATAGTTGATGATTAATCCCAATATAATTTCATAAGACAATTTCTAGGAAGTACGTTACTAATCAAAATATAAACTTTTCCATGGAAAGAATTTTTTTAGAGAGCGATTTTATAGGGCATGTGTACTTGCCAGAGAGACAGAAAGCAAGAAACTTCCCCCCAGGGAGAATGGCCATGCCACAACCCCTTCTCCTCCATTCTCCTCTTGGGATCTTGGGCACACATGCACACACTCCCCACTTGAGTTTTAAGCTTCCAGGTCTGGGTCTTGAACCTCAGTTGACTATGTGAGAGTCCAGCAATGCAATCATTGTCCCATCTGCTGATCAGTAGAAAGAATTTTTTATTTTATTTTATTTTATTTATAAGAGAGAGAGAGAAAGAAAGGAAAGCATCTTCAACAGAGTCTCATCACAGTATCATTTCCCTAGCTCTCTAACTTGTCAGGATCTTGGGCACATGTATATGTGCCTGGCTTATTTTCAGTCTGACTCAGGGATCAAAGCCCGCAGATAGCCATGTGGCTTCCAGTACTGCAATTAGGTTTGCTACTCACTGGAAAAGATCAATTTTAATGTGTGATACACAGGCATCCCAAGTCAGTGGATCAGTCAGCCAGCAAATGTCAGTGCACATTATTCTAGGCCCTCAGTGTATAATAAGAAACAGGTGTCTGAACCCTCTAAAACTTAAATTTTAGTAGTGAGAAATTATTAACAAACTCATCAAGAACTAAGGTCATTTCAGTTATTGGCCACTGAAGAAGACAAAATAGTGTCATAGGAAGAAAATGGTGGATTTGATTATAGTGTTTACAGTGAGGAGGATGCTAACATTAGGATGAATATCCCTGAAACTTGAATGAGATCTGAATATTGAGAAAGAATCATCCACGGGAACAACTGGGAGAAGAATGTCCCTATCAGAAGGAGCAGCAACAACCAGGCTCAGATAGGGAGGAGCTTGACTATCATGATTTGAGGCCACATGGGTGGATTGAGTGAGGTTATAACAATAGTCAAGGCCAGATCATTTAGGACAGAGAATATAAAGAACTTGAATTTTACTTTAGTTGTAAAGGGTAGTTCTTGAAGCGTTTTAGGGAAAGGAGTAATATCAATTTAGATTTGTTTCCAAGATTACTCTACCTGCTTCCTTTGGTCAAACTTGCTACAGTGGGGGAGGCAACAAGTCTTCACTGTGAGTTTATTATTTTCTGGGCACTGCAACTCAGGATTTTACTATAAAAAATAACAACATCTCTGACCACCACACAGTTCAAGAAAAGGGATGAGTAAACTAATAATGACTCTTCCACGTAGTGAATGATTAGAGAATATAGAAAGTGTGGTGGGGCAATAGACAACTTAGGGGTGAGGCAGGCTAGGGATGTGTAGTTGGAAATAAGAAACATGAACAGGAGTGAGACTAGTGAGTGTCACATTAGTCTGTCGCCTTCACCCAGGTGATAGACGATGGAGGTTTCCTCTACCAGTCACGCACCAGATGCCAAAAGTGATTGAATTCAGGATATATTTTGGAATGAATGGGAGACTTACTGATGAATTAAGGAGTGATGTGAAGAAAAAAGGGATTGAAAGCTTATTTATTTGTTTATTTAATTTGTTATGGGGCAAATTACCAGAGAGAGAAAGATGCAAAGTCCAAAAGCACACACCTCCCCCACCCCCTCAGGGATATGACCACACCATAGTCCCTTCCCTTCAATTATCCTCTTGGGATTTTAGGAACATTTGCACACACACACACAGCATATTTTTCAAGCCACTGGGCCTGGGACTCAAACTTCATGGTCAGCCATGTGAGATCCAGCTGCCTTAACCCCATGCTAGCAGCGCCCAAAAGCTGATTTCTTAGTGTGGAGCCTGAACAATTGGTGTGGGTAATGATGCAATCATGGTGATTTAGGAGGGTGATGAGGGAAGTGAATTTGGCAGGGGTCTCTGGAGTAGAGATAAGAGGAAAAATAGTAATGCATCTTTTTGAACCAGTTAAGTTTCAGCCAACTAAGTCTGGCTGCTGCTTCTCATGGTCAATGAAACCAGAGTCAGAGGCTGGAGAAGGGAATTTATTTCCGTAACTTGTTACAGGGAGACAGTCAACAAGCACCATTAAACTGTCCTGAAAAGCTCAACATGTTCTCAATATTTATGGATACAAGATATAAACACATGCAAATCAGACAGAGTCAATTGGTTTTCACTGAGTAATTATCATTCTGATTCCTGTACTTTCCACTGAGTAAGTATTATTCTGATTCCTGTTTTACTTTGAATACCCATTCCTGGTTTCTCATCCAACCATTCTTCAAACAGATCCTCCTATGACTCAGCACTTGGTCAGATTGTTCTCATTAGAGGTCTTTCTTAATATCAGAATGGTTACAGTCCTACTAAATCTTAAGCTGACCCACCTCAGAACTACTGCTCAAAAATATTTAAAGATTACTCTGCCTGTTATCTGTATAGAAGGTCCAGGTTGGAGAATAAAGAGTATAGGTTGTACTTAAATTTAGTAGATTAGTGTTTAGTCCATTCTATAATTAATAAAACACCTATAGCTGGGTAGTTTCTAAAAATAGAAATTTATTCATAAACTGGTTTGGAGAGGTGTTCCTGGGGCCACCTCTGGTAGGGAACTTCTGGTTCTATCACAATAGAGTGGAGGGCAGAAGAGCATGGTCTGTGTTCTAGGTCTCTCTCCTGGCCTCATTTGCTCTCCTCATAAGCCCACCAGGAGTCAGTCATGGTGGTCCCACCCTAGTCACTTAATCACTCCCAAAGATCTCACCTTTCAACATCATGAAGGTGCTATTTCCTTATATTAGCTTCACAACCAAATAACACATGAACTTTGGAGGGCCACAAATTATGAAATGGCATGAGAGGCATAAACAGAGCCTTGGGCAGGTTTAGAGAAAT